CCAGAACTCACCCCTAAATGTCAGCATCTCACTATAGTATGGCTGAGATACTGTTAAATATGATAAAACTGTTTCCCACGTGGTTTAATCGCTAGAACTATTGAGATAACTTTCCTAGGGAATAGAACTCTGCAGGATTTCCTTCCTCTATGCTCATATATGTGAAATTCGATGAGATGCTGACAAGCGGTACGAGAAGTTAGCATCTCATTTCTTAAAAACGTGGTTTTAGGGGATAAATTAATTGAACTATTGTTAAAACTTATCAAGAACTGTGGAACTATGATGGATGCAAGTAAACATGAAGTTTATTTGTGAGATGCGAATAGTTGAGATGCTAGGTTCACACTGGTCCGGACTGCGAGGGGTTTAAATTTGGTTTTGATTAAATTTGTTAAAAAGTCATTGGAAATTTTAAGTATACAAAAATTGTCAAACCTACCTTTTTTACCAGTGTTTTTGCAGCTTCCTGTATTAACTGAGTGCTTTGTTTCTCGTGGGACTTATTGGTACGGACGTGGTGATCATCCGAATTCTTCGAATTTTCGTCGCTCACCTCCTCGACTCCGGCCAATAATTTCATCATTGGAGCAGCGGGATCTGTTTATCAAAACGTACTTGTATGTAATAAAAGAACAATACAATTCAGTTAATCGAATATATATATATAGGACAAATTGGCTGATCTCTTACGTACAGACTTCGGTTCAATATATCATACATTACCATGTTACATTGTACGATGATAAGTAATACCTCTTTTTTTCGTTATTTTTTATAACCTATTGCGATAATTTTCTCATTGCGTAATTACGTCATACGTGCGTCAATACATATTCATATTTACATACGATTAATAGAAATCGAATAAATATAAATTGATTGGGAGCAAACAGAGAGAGAGAGAGAGAGAGAGAGAGAGAGAGAAGTATTTATTTATTAAAGCCCTGGGATATGTGAATCCCCTAAGAGCAACAAGAATTTTGCCAAAACAATTTCAACAATGTGCTCCCTTAGAAAGCAAAAAATAATACAAAAAAAAGAAGGTGCGAGTGAAAGAGAGAGAGAGAGGGGCAGATTATTCAAAACGAAAACAGGTAAAACGTTAAGCGCGGGAATGATGACTGCATTTTTCTCCATAACGTATTTATAACTTTGGTAATGAATAAGTGCAAAGTGTCGCGGTCGCGCCGAATCGATCGAACTGCGGCACGTGTTTCCACACGTATTTATTCCCAGGACAGCAAGAAGTTCCTTAGGCTTGATATAAACCAAGCGACGGAATGTGTAATATAACGTAACAATATTATTAAACAATATTTCATAATAAAACATGAGTGAAAAAAAGGAAATCTTCCTCCATAAATTACACAGCCACGGTGCTTTCAACTTTCTAGCTAGTTACTATACCAGCCAGCAATAAGGATATGACATGTGCCATTATACTTTTGTATTTCCCTCTTACGCTTACGATCACATCATATTTTATATTGAATCAAGACCGTTCCAGATTTGCCTATTATCTGACAGAAATAATAACTTTTTTACTTTGTCTTTTTCTCTCTATCTCTCTTCCTCCAAGTACCACGCGGATCTCCCGCATCTCTAATTCACGAGAAAGTTACACTGGAATCAAAGCCACTCGTTGTTGCTCAGGTATTGGTAAACCACTGACCAATGAAGAAGTGAGTTGTCACGCAGGTGTAAAGTTCGTTAAGAATTCAAAAACGATCGTATTATACTAATTAAAAGTAATTAGAAAGTACGATTCAAGTACAGATTATCTCGAATGGTTTAACCAATAACGATTAAAACTTTTGAGGTTAACCCCTGAAAAGTTCCGAATTTTGACAGGAAGTCATTATCGACGTGACAAGCCAGTGCGAAGCACACGAAGAATAAATATATACAAGAATCTCTTGTCTTATTATTCAAAGTCACCTTATTCTTAGCGTCAACGCTAAAGTCAAATATTCCAATACCATTTTAAATCCCAACGTCACAATAGCCACTCGGAAATTTCCATAGTTTCTCATACGTCTTGAACCACGTCTAGCACTAGTCATCCAAAACAGAATTAATTACAAAGCAATAATGCTGTTGCCTTCGATATACGTACCTTGTAAAAACACTTAATATAATACAACTTGTATTGTCCCACGCAAAGCGTTATTCTCGCGGGTTCAAGTATTTTCTATCCAGTCCACATGTCACGTGGCAGACATCCAAACGGGGCGCGAACAATTGAACCAAACTAAGGATCGTTCCAAAGTCGCCACTACAACTGAAAGTCACCTAAGCCGCAACATTCGATGAAGCACGAGACCGATGTGATTGGAGTGGACAGCATAAAGAGGTTTTCTTGTGAGCGGGATGTCCAGCAAGAATCTGATTCGTGCACACTGTCTTTGGAAGGGGCCACTGCACTGCGTCACAACTCTCACACAACAGCCCAGGAACGTCCGAGTCCGTTGGCCTTAGCTATGCGCTTGAGAAAGAGCACGAGCGAAGAAGTAGCAACGTTCGAATTGAGAACCAATGAGAGACTGCGTTTCTCGAAGATATTATTCTTCATTTCCGGTTGAAATGATGGATTATGTAAGAAATTCGTTAAGCGAGGAGAGAGTTGGGATCGATAGGATGGAAAGAGATAGGAAAGATGAAAAAAAGAGACAAAAAAGAAGGTCTTGATACGGAATCTTTATTCATTATAAAGGGTTAACGCTAAAATGTACACATACGTTACGAAAGAGTGTTGCTGTTGTAGCATTGTTGGCAATAATAATAATTACAGGATTCTTATGTCCCTTGGTACTTGCATTTCTTTTTTGGTTCTGCTTCAGGATCAGTATATATATGTTGATATCAATGGTTATTGATACTTGTTTTATACGTATACATTCTAAATATTCAGGGATGCCATAGTCCTTGCTAACCATTATTAATAATTAAGTGGCTAAAGGAGCGATACGCGGTTCCTCGAGTGTGAAGAGGTGCATTCGAGTGCATTTATAATGGTGCAATTGAACTGGGAGCGAAAGTTGAGCATTCGAGGAATTGAGGCGAACACGTCCTGTCGTTCTCTATATAAAACGAGTAACGGCCATGTGACAGGTTTCATCGTAAATAAATCAAGAACCCGTTCATGATCCTTTACAACCACAATATATTGTAAAATACAATGTTGAGAATATTTGACAATAATTAAAATTATAATTCCTATTTTAATCTTCGTGTCTTGTTGCCTGTTGCGGAAAACCTGCGACGTTTACATACCATAAATACTTCGTTATATTGTGGATGAAAGGGGTACTTTTCAAGACCAAAAAAAAAAACTAAACAATAAAAAAAGAAAAGGAGGGAAAGGAGCGAGTAGGAAGAGACAAAGGGGCAGGAAAAGTAAAACTGGAGGATCCGCCTACAAGAGATGAGAGAAGTTTCGGATAAGCCAGAAGAAGAGAATAGTAAAAGGAACGTGAATAATGTGAACGTTAAAAATGGAGGACCGGCAAATTGTTGACTCGCAAAGGCACGCCGCAAATAACATTGGTAGTACATCGAGGTATCGTCGCAAAGAAGGTAATAATTTTACTTTTCTTTTAAGTTTCACGTTTTTTTCCATCTCTTCCCTTCCCTTCGTTTAAACTTGTTCTGGATCATCGTTATCATTTTTTTTTATTCCCTTCGCATGCTCTTACATTTCGCCTAAACGTGGCGTGGCGACGCACGCCTCGTTCCAAATATTGCCGTCCACTCTGCGCCGCGTAAACCGCGTTTCTCTACGCTATAACATACAGACTCAGCAAATTTCAAAATTCTCAAGACAATATTTCACATGGTCAACGAAGAAATCGTCGGTCGTTTGTCAACAAACAACACGATAATGATTAATAACAGTGGACGTGATCTACTGACGTCACGAGATCATTAGTGTATTCATTCATAATCGAATATGACGTTGGACCACGAAGACAGAAATATCAAGAGAATTTCGAAGTAGACGTCACAAAGTGGCGTCCCGGCGGCATGAGAGATATTATAAATTACATAGCATACTTAGATGGTAGAGACGCTTTCGAGTACACGTACGAGAGCGTTCAGTTCGAATTATTTTAATTTTAAAGTAGTACTACTGTCCCCTCGTTCCCTTACGCACGCTACAATCGTTATACTGCCATCTCCGCAAGTGTCCATAGTCCTGTATTTGCCGTGCAACCATTAAGACATTCAAATGATAAATTTAAATAACTCCACACCGACGACGAATCAAGTCACAGACGGCTAATTTTGAGTTACTCGTAGAATTTGTCGGGCAAATAGTAACAATAGTAATAGTATAATAGTAGTAATAGCGGTAGTACTAATAGTAGTAGCAGTAGTATAAGGTGATTCTTTCTGTTTGCTTGTTTGTCATTGTTTAATAATCAAAACAAAATGTATAGGTATAGTTTCAGTAGTATTTATATAGAGCCCAGTCTTACAAAAAAAGTGACCGCATCGGACCCACATATGGGACGGGCAAAACTCGCTCGGTTACGTTTAAAACTAACAATCGGTGTGTTGTCAGTTCGAGGTTCCATTTCTTTTCCTTGTTTTTTTTACTGAGAAAGTAGGTATACAATATTACATTATTATAAGCACAATCATTAGAAATTAAACTATTAAGTTCAAATACAAATCCTACTTTCACTCTCCTATATTTTAATTTCATTTTATTTATGAAAATCAAAGCGGACATGTTTTTTTTCTTGATTCATATATATATATTGTTGTGTGACCACCTTTGAAATTGCCTCAATTGCCATCGTGGCGTCGTCTTAAAATTCGCAGGCTACCCAGGGCGGAGGGAACATCAGATTGATCACGGCTGGCCTGAGTGTTCTACGGGCCTGAGTCGCGGCGTAACTTTAAGATCGGACAAGCCGTAGCTAGATTGAATCGGTGCTGATCGGTAAGTGGCATTAGGCTGGGGTTGCTTGCTGATAGAGGTGGCGTTTGGATGTTGAGGTCAACGGAGATTGGCGCATCACATGGCATACTTGCGCGTCCATTCGCGTGCCAATTCGTTGTACTTCTCCCTGTCAGTTTTGTATATCCTTGCTATCTCTGGCACCAGAGGGTCATCTGGATTCGGATCGCACAGCAGAGAGCATATTGACAGTAACACTGAAATCATTCACGGCACGCCATACTAATTATCATCGTTTATCATCATCATACTTTAAATGTTAATCGTTAATCCGTTAATCGCCATATATTTTTATACCGACTATATAAAATATTGACCAGCCGCCTCCTTTCCATTCTACGCTCTACCATCACCCTCCCAACATACTTCTATATTCCAGCGACTCTACAGAGCGACCGCCATATTTTTTTACTCCGTGTATTCTTTGATACGATAAACTCAAGCCTGTGGTCGATATTGAAACTATCTTCCTGCCTTTCTCTGTACAGCCTGATGTGTGTTTTCTAGCATTGTCACTTCACAGTGTAGGCTGCCAGTCCAGAAGCCCCGGTGTAATATATCACAGTTCTGATAATAAGTGTTGTATTTCTGTACATACCCTTTGAAATAGTGAGTGCTGGAGACCATTGCGATCTCAGTATATCCAAACAAATACTTCCATTACTGTTAATATTAGGGTGATAGATTCTGGTCGTGAAAGCAACCTGCGGGCATTAAAATTTTGCGTAAATATTTTATTTGATTGTTTTCCATATTACGCAAGGAATCTGTCTTATCATACCTTAGGGGGTTTGAATGGATAGTCTGTTGGGAAGTGAATTGTTAAGAAAAATACTCCTCCCTGGTAGGGGCTGTCAGGCTGAAAAAAAATAATGTTATACGAGTTTTCACTCCCTTCTTAATTCAACACTGTAAAAACGTCTAGCTTCTCAAAGTATTTCTTTGAAATTATTGCACCAACGCCCCACGTGCAAATGAATTGACGACTACCCGGTGTTTACCATCTTTTTAGCAAATTTACCACGTACCAAGGGTAATTGGATTAGATAAGAATATAGGTATTGAACAAATAAAATATATCACTTACTGGTCCCATAATAGTGGCCTGCCAGTGGAATACTGAAACAATATAAATGTGTTAAGGAGAGCCACAAGTCGAGGACAATTGGATCATTATACAATGTATGCTGAACATTCGCAAAACTAAAATGTATCATTAGAAATACTTCAAGGTCAGACGGCCGTTTCTAATGTTTCGTAATTTGTCATTTTTATTGCGTAACGCGACGCTCTCAAAGTGAAAGTTATTTATTATCATGCAATTTACTACCATGCGTCATTACCGGTGATGTATTTTTTTACAGTACACAGGAAAAAAGGAAGGAGATCAATCGAGTGTCCCTCGTACAAAGCCATGCGCGGGATACCGTGTTTCTAGTTTGAATGGATTCACTCTGATAATCAATTGATGATATTTTAATGAAATATTAAGACAAACGATGACTCAAGGTTAACAATAATCATCCACTATTGCAAATATAAATAACCTGTCCTTGCCAAAGTTTGTTATTTTAATCTACTGAGTATTTATTTTACTTAATTCATTATTAAATGATTATCTAAATTAAATTACGAAAGAAGATCTTTTAATGTCTAATGAGCTACTTATCAGTGTGAACACAGAAGACAATGATATTACGGCAAATTCAAACTAATAATTAATTAGCAGTCATTACTCGTGGAAAGGGTTTGAATGAGAAAGAAGAAAATGTATTTTACACGACGTGTAGTGGGAGTATAGAGCCACATGGACCTGCCGCCCTATTTATAGAATCTATATTAACGCTGGCAAATTCTTTTTTAAAAAAAGAGTCTAGCTATTAGCAATCGAATTAAAACATAAAACGTATCACACGACCACAGGCAGACAGTGCTCAGATTGTGCAGATAAAATAACTTTCTTTAGGGTGGCTATATGATCATAAGCACGTCTTTTTGTCGTGTATTATTTTTGGAATGTGTGGTATGCGTCTAATTTTAAAGTGACTAGGGATACGTCAAAAAGATGTTAATTAAGCTATTGGCTCTCTCTTGCTGTCTTTTAATACATTCTTCCTTACGAAGCATAGACATTTTACTGATGAGTGAATTTGTGTCTTTTGATATTATGTATGCGACTGAATTTTGTTGGATAACTCAAATATATTATGAACAAAATGAACAAAATTTTAAAAAATATTGGAGATAACTGGTGACTGTAACTGTACGACATGAAAACTTACAATCATCTCCTACAGGACCAGCGGAGCATTGTGCAGGTGGATCCCTTCCAAGATCCTGAAGTTCCTGTAATAATAAAATAAATAAAATGAAACATTGTGAGACAAAACACAGCAACGAAAAATGTTCTTCTATATTTAACTGCAGTGATAAATAGGATTTTTATATAATGGACTGATTATTCCTATAACAATATGTCGCAAGATATGTTTTTATTTTATAAGCCCATACCTATAATCGAGACTTTTGGTTCATAATCTTTTGCAATTTCTATAAATCTAATAAATATCTCTGATGAATATTCATACATTACCATTACTATAATATCATAATGGGTAAGGAAAAATCATTACACTAAAAGTTTCAGTCAATAATCTTTCTGATAAGAATATTTGCAAGCATATAGATAGAAAAGATCAAGTGTGCATATACAACCATGTTAGTATTTAACTTATGAGTATGTATGTCTCAGACAATGTATAGTGTTTTCTGTTGAATAGAACTTTCTTTGAAATACATAATGTATCAACCAACTCTGTATTACCATAGCAAAGTAATTTAAACAAATACTCAGGATAGTAGATATTATAAGTAAAGAATTTTTCTTCTGTGATATATACTATTTACAGCATGCGCATGAATTATCTATGACATCTTGCGTAATGTAAAGATATCAGTGTCTTTTAAAATTCTTTAGTAAATTTTTATACGCAGCTACTGTTAGTATCAGATGCTAAATATTTTATTTCATTAAATATAAAGGATACAAGGATTTTTGGTTGACTCAAAATGCATACTTTATATATTAGTTAGAAATTATGCCCGTAGTGTGTATCATAGATGCGAACAGGCTTCAAAGATTGTACATGGATAGATTGTAAGGAGCAAGCACTCTTGCAGTTCAATTTAAGCAAAACATTGAAATGGATGACAATGCAAACCAATGGTATATAACTATGTACAAAGGCACTAAAGTAAATGACTCATGCCGACCTACTAACACCTAGTACAGACTCGCGGTGAGTTTATCATAAAGATTCGAGGTGGATGTATAGCACCGGAAAGTCCAGCGTGGTAGACTTCTACAAAGGCTTGGTAACCGTCTAATAAAATTGGTTTTCTACGATATCCAAACTATCTATGGCTCCGTATGTGCATACATATATATATATATACATATACATATATATATATATATATAACGCACGGTTTTACGTTACTTCCGGCTATTTATCGGCCAGCCACTCGAAATTTTCTCGATTTTCACTGTCACCTCGGCGATGTTCACAAGCACAAAGAGACCTTCGATTGTAAACGAAAGTCTCTATAATGTGAGAAATGCGATTGCAAGAAAACCAGAGCACGGTTGGGGAATGCAAAAAAAGGGGTAAAAGCCAACATGATTTTCAATGCTGGCTCACATTGCTTCACTGCAAAATCGTTAAGGGCGTTCAACCGGATTTGACACACACCACACCGAAACCCGGCCACTTTTATGCCGTATGAACACTGCGAATCGTTGACGTACCTTGTTAATTCGTTTTAAAGCCATTTGATGGACTGTGTGTTGATATTAACTGGCTGAAAACCAGACAACGAAACCCGCTAGCCAAAGATCTTTGATTAGGGATTGTAAGATGGCTGCCTTCTAAACGTCGTCCCACTACGTTGCTCAAGTGTCCATTCACGTACACTTTCCTCGTCGTCCTCACGATATACTAAGCCACGCCGTATATTTTAAAATTACGTAACGCTTTCTCTTATAAATTTCTTTTATCTCTACGATCAGTCCTAATTAATTTAAATCGTCTTCTGTTCCGCTCTTGAACTCGAACTCACGTTGGAGACTCCACGGATTTCCTTTTATCGGCAATTGGCGGATTTTTAACGTCATACCATTCTCCGCCAACAGATGTAGCGGTTCAAAGAGCCGCAACTCGTTCTGACACAACCGGCTTTCAAATTCATCCACGTTCCATACGCTGCTATGTGCTTCGGAGCTCTACTCAAACGAGAACTAGCACGGATCGATTACGAGGATTATTCACATTTAAACGTTGACGTCTGCGTTCTTTTGGATTCCGCGTATGAAATATATCCAACAAATCTCATGAAAACAAAAGATCTCTACCCGGCATGATGTCAGGTTACATGAACGTGTTACAAAATTATTAGGTACGAAAAAGAAAAAAAAATATTAAAAAAGTAAAAGAGTAACGGCTTCGGTTCGAAGAGTCACGATTCTAAGAATACCACAAAAATATTCGTCATGATGAACGGCAGAGGAATCCCCGGACGATGCTGCTGCATTAAACAAAGAGAAAAAGTAGAGGCCAAAGCAGCTTGGGACAAGTGTAAAAGAAAAAGGCAAACATTAGTGTTCAATCCGGAAGAGGAAGTCTGGCACGAGCCATATATGCAGTGTCTACGTAAAGAATTTTCAGAAATATCAATACCGTGTGATTCCAAAATTGAGTTACCTTGGAAGGACATAGCTCTACCAGCTGCCGGTATGAAAATACGTGTCAAAGTATCGTTGAATGAACTTGTACAGGATTCCTTGGCAAATGATACGGCGGATGAAGGGAATGCTGAGAAAAAGGAATCAACTGGCATAATGCATTTACCTTGGGACGATTTACTTGTGACGGATACTATTCAAACGCATTTGAACAATACAGCAACATGCGATTCAACTTTGGAAATACCGTGGAGCGATCTTGCTCTTGAAAGACCATTATTCATAGAACCACCACCCAAAGAGGAATCATGTGCACCGGATGACATTGAGATTCCTTGGGAGGAAATTCTCGTGCCGCAAAACATTGTGATCGAGACGAAAATGAAGAAACATCCATCCTCTGCAGCACCACCACGACCATCATCCAAGTCCGGTGGAAAATCATGTGGAAAAGGGCCGTGTTGTGTGAAGGCAAGAAATCAGAGAAAGGTGGGCGGTTCTATGTGTACGTGATATTTTATTTAAGAAAAAATTCGATACTTTTCATTAATAAATCTCTTGATACAAGACTATGCAATTTTTAAATGTTAAATGCATCTAGGTTCAGAAATCGTTCAGAGAATACTTGGAGTTTCTTTGAGTATGAATCGCAGTGACAAAGCAACAGAACCTTTTCTATTGACATTTACATTTTATTTTCTATACCTAAATCTATTTTCGATATACTTTCTAGTGACAATAAACGTTTTTATTGACTGTGTCTGTGTTCCAGTGAACGTGGCAAACAACTCCTTATAGATAGAATAAATGATGCCCATTTAATATTTGAAAAAATAGAAAACCACCATAACCGCACTTAAAAATCTCTTCCTACGTAAATTTCCAAATATGTCAAGTCAAACTATCACTGAAGTCCATCGGTTCTCTTCCACTTACTTCAGTCAAGGGGATCATCCATTTGGAAAGCGACTTTCCTCTCCCAGTCTCGCTTCCATTGCTCTAACCACAACTCCTACCACAAATACAAACTCGGACTGCGATTACGAAACCTCAAGCGAAGGTTTTCACAGTCCCCGAGGACAGCATGCGTTGCCATTTTCAAAAATTCCAAACACACCAATAGCTCCTTTATCATCATGTTTCCGGACGCATGATATTTGGGACAGAAATCTTGTACCAAAGTTTTCTAGCCAACCATTCGTACCTTGCGACAATTCCCAGAAAATATTGTGCAGAAAGTTTGCGAATTTTAATTCTACAAAGACATTAGATCACATTGGTGATACCAGCAAAGTCAAATCGCTACCTGAAATGGGTATGAATACTTACTGCACCTCGAGGAAATTTCCTAATTCTGATTTATTATCAACAGGGCACATTTTCGATTCCTCTCATGACTTTATGGAATTGAAAGGCAACATTGGCGATTTCACGCATAAAATATCAACCAATTTGCAGATGGTATCTGGTTCTGCTTCAGTCACGGAGTCGCATTACGAATGCGATAAGAAGAACGACAATACTGAGCTGCGTTTTACCATTTCAAATGGCAGCGTCGTATATCGCGATGGATACCAAGACGAAATGGAGAATGCAAATTCCTATTCTTGCATTCGTGGAAAGCATGGAACGATTCCACATAGGAGAAGTTCTATGGAGGTGGATTCGACCGTAGAAGAAGAAATTTGTGATATCGAGTCTTCGTCAAGTAAGAGGAAGAAAAAATATGCCGTTCTTTCTCCAAAATGTCAATATTTTCCGAAACCTCATAGCACTTTTAATTATTACCCGGTTTCGCGGATCGAAGGAGAATTTGCACCGTTGCAAAATAAATTATCTGAAATTCAAGGAAAAGTTCGAGCTTTGAGTTTGGACTATAGTATGGCGTATGGGGATTGTGCGAAAAGCACATCGATTCTGTCAATTGGAACTTTGGACTGTTTTCCTCGTGGAAATTTGGAAAACTTAAAAACGACAAGGGAGAATGTGAATGAAGAATTTGATAGCAGGAATAATTGTTTAAATAAAAAACCAAATAGTGCAAGATCTTTTAATGACGATCAACCGTGGGACAGTGGTATATGCACAAATTTGTCGAGGAAAGTAGAAGAACTATCAAAGGACATTGATTCGCAGAAAGAAGACATAAGAAATGAACATCTCGAGACTTACGATAAGAAGCAAAGTTATCAATCAGAAGAAATTTCTTTTTTAGCAGCATTAACCATACTAGCTCGAAAGTATTCATTTTTTAAAAATTGTCTTATAACAAAAAAGGATGAATCATTGTTCAGCAATGATAATTTATCACAAGAAATATTTATAAATTGTTCAGACAGTGTGAATACGCCAAACGAATGTAATTATAAAATTTCGACAAGCACTGTGGATGAAACTGAGGAAATGTGGCCTAAAGAATGTACGAGAGGTATGAGAAGTTATCCTTATCAGTAAAACTGAGTCATGAAAAGAATTTTCATTAGCAGTAAAAAATCTATATAAATCTTCTAAGATATTTAAATATGAAGAGGTCTCTTCAAGGACCGTCCAGACTTAATAACTCGTCGACCATTGGAAGTACTATTTATATTCATATCTGAAACGATATTCTAACAAGACTATTGAATTAAAAAAAATCTCCATCATCCAATCAACGTCTATCCTTTCGAGGTCATCGACTTCAATTTCAAGGTTCTTTGTGCAGTTTCAATATAAAAAATGATTTGGAATGACTCATCATAAAGTGTCTCTCTGTATATCGTCTTTATGTAACTCCCCGCAAGTCGGATATATCTTAGAGCATCGGTGTCTACCTTATCGATGCTGAATTAAAATTCGATCTTTAACAGCAGCACCATCTGCAGGACACAAAGTGTAATAAAGCCCCGGGAGTAGTGACGGCAGTCGGCAGTCGTCAGTTGACGTGAACGGTGGTGGTTCGTGGGTGAGCAAGTGAGTCAGGGACCGCAGAATGAAAATGGCGTAGCGGCCAGCGGAGTGTCGCAATCCGAACTCTCCAGTACGCCCCGGAAAACAATTCACAAGGATCCCAGCAAGTCAAAAAAAGTCCGGAAGTGACCCTAGTTTAGAAAAAAAAATTCCCAACAGAAAGTGCAATAAAGGTGACTGGCGAGTACAGAATCAAATCGTTAATGATCAGTGAGCAGTGAGTGCCTGTGTCGGTGGCTACTGGTAGCGCGATTTGACAGCGAGTTTGCAATTTCGCTTGACTGCCTTTAAATCGTCACGAGTGTCCGTTTTCACAGTCACGCATAGTGCCGAATTCTTTGGGATAGATTATTCTCTGTAAAAATGATGGGTTCGCGCGCGGAAAGTCGGAAATTTGCCCTCGTGACAGCTTGACGACCTTGTTATAGGCGTAAGATGGCGCCACCGGTGTTTTGACATATCCCCACGAGCATCAGCTGGATTTTACAACATTTTTCGACTTTATTTATTATGAGCAGAGAATTCTACGTTCCTTGCACACCCTACGCATATCCGGTAAGTCAATTAAATGTTATATCCTCATACGATATTTCCTGCTACTTCATTGTTCAATGTATATCGACTTCTACGTATGAATTTACATGGAATTTTATGGCTTCGATTTCGGAACCGACGAACGGTTCTTTCGTTGTGTCTGTTTATTTTTCAATATCTCCCAGTACCCTTCTTCCTCCCGTAAATACACAATCAATACTGTTTGATGTTCCTGTTAGACGCTGTGTAAAATCTCTCGAAAGTTCATGCTTTCCAATACGTTCATTGGATGTTTCACAAAAAGATGATCACCTTCCCAATGATTAATTTGCTTATTAGCGAAATCGCTGATACTCGACGATCTGACGTATCATTTTAGCCTATCAGAGTAACCGGCTTGTGTATGCAAATGAAACCGGATATGCCCGTTTCTATTTGGGAGAGTTAATCGTCCCTCAAACGATAGAGATTCGCGGTACACCTTATAAATGTGATTATCAGGTTCATTAAACAACCACAAGCGTTGTCATGGCGTTAGAAAGTTTCCCGCGAAAAATAATGGCGGTTTTGATGGCAAAGCCTTAGAAATTCTTGAAATTTATCTCTGCAGAGGTTTGAATGCGTATTTAATATTCGTCAGTATTGTACATACACCGATAATGATAATGACACTGGATAAAGTAGCTGTTTGAAGTTTCTGCTTATTGTTTCCATAGCAAATGAGTATTGGCACCACTGAGCTATTGTCGTAGTTTTCTATATTCCCTCAGACGTCAAATAATACTTTTCTCCAAATTTATCAGTAGACCCAGTCGAGAGAGTAACGAGACCTTATGCAATCGCGTGTAAAGAACATTCCAACGATCTATCCTGTGCCGTGACGCGCGATGAAAGTCCACCTTTACCAAAGCGAGGGATACCAAGGTTCCGCGAATTGGGGACGCACTCATTTTGAATCGTTATAAAATCCATATACGAGGAATACCGTTACGGGGATCGTACAAGAGATCTTTTTGAACACGTGAGATGGTACGGTTGGAAAGATGAAAGTAACTAGGACTAGAAAAGAGTTTCTCTAGCTCACGTAAAACCTGTGTTTGTTCAAAATTATTCGTTGAAGGCTAACGACGAGAAAAAAGGTAAATCAAGAAAAAAGTTCGACTTGGGAAAATTGTTGGCGTCAAATCGCGCCAGGCAACCGGAAGACACGTCGTTGAGGTCGAGCATAACAGGAGATACGAATTCATCGGAGTCCGTCAGTTCGTCGGAGACTAGCGATCGCCTCAAAATGAATCGACCAAAGTTACCGAATATTCGAAATCATTTGAAGCGATTGATGAGCCGTTTTACTGGAAATTCAAAAACTGTCATAAAGTCATCATCGCCCAGGTCGATGGAATCCGGAAGAGTCGTCGCGTCCGGAAGTCCCAGTGGTAAGCTCATGAGATAAATCGTAGACGTGGCACTTCCGGTAACTGGGAAAAAGTCAAAAATCAAAAATTCGTCCAAAAATTATACTGCAATGAGAAACTGATTGCCGAAAACTTTCCTATGCTCTATATATTCGTGATAATAATAAAAACAATAAATAATTATTTTCAATCGACACAAATGGTGCGAGGATACATCGACCGTTAGATTATCAGAGACTAGATAGAGTCTCGACAAGTATACTTATTATCGCTTATAAACGGTCGACTTGGTACTCGAACGAAATTGGTCGTATAACAAAAAAGTTCCTTTTTTCTATGCATATTACATCCGCCATGCCGACCAGCGCGTACCGTTAGCTATACCGATAAACACTGGTACCGAGTAATCCAGCCGAAATGCCTCATTCGAGTTTGACAGCTGTCATCGCTGTAACGAAGTATCCATTAGGCAGAGGCAGAAGTGAAAAATGGTTTTTCCTTAATAAATCTCTGGTCCCGCTACCAGATCATCTTCCTGAGGTTCCAGCTGAGTAACCCAGAGTACACGTAAGCCTAGTACACACGATATATGGGAAGTAAGGAAAGTGGCCTAATGATCGATCGATCATACTTCCGTTACATATCTGATCGAGTAACTCGATCAGTAGTACGTCCCTAGTTAATCGCATCCAACCGGAAGAGTAAAACCGAAAGATCCTCCAGAACGTCATTAGAGACTTCCTCCTTACAGAGCACGACGCGCACCAAGAGTATCCCGGGGTCATAGCGAACCCCACGGAAATAGAGAATGGCCAAGAAAGTAGCCAGAGTATACTTATCGATCGTCCATCATCTCCCGCAGCATCAACGTCCGTTGCGTCCAGAGCATCCACAAGTAAATTGACTGTACAGCCGTAATCAGGCACTGTGAAAAATGTCATTCTTCTAGACGAGTCCGTAACAGATAATGGATTGACAATGCCGATCACGATAACTCCGCCTACCACACCGGCATCTCGGACGCTAATGAGTCCTGTGAACATCCTCGAGGAGATTCCCAGCCTGAGGGAGGGTGCGATAATTTCCAGTGATCCCGTGGGATTAGCCGCCGTTCTCAGCGCTGGCCTGGACCCCGATCAGAGGCACGTCCATTTCGAATTAGAAATTTTTTCAAATACGTTCCTCGCCGCTAAGACCGTATCGGGTCTTGTATACGCGTGCTATTTTTACACCGTGTTTATTTATCACGTCCATACGACTTTCATGCGATTCTATTGACTCACAGCGGTTCTGTGGAAACAAGAGTCACGAGAAGGGAACACGAGTCACGTGGTACGCCCTTGTATATACGAAATCCTGGCTTGCTGGAACCCTACGCACAGACTGTAGTGCTGACAGATGGAAACAATTTCACTGCTACCGGGTGAGCATATATTCGAAGGATTTAACCGATCGACAGTCTTGATCTATTGGACACTTTGCGAATGTCATTTTAGAATTACATTTTTTTAAAAAAAAAATTTTTTTTCTCCTATTTCTCACGTGCTCCTAACGTACGAGCGGACTGACTACGAGTGCTCGTTTCTTTTGGTCGACGCAAGAGCCATATCGAATCCTTGTAACACGTTGAGCCCGATAGCACAAGTCTCATTGGCAGTCTTGTCAATGTGGTTCGGGTTTGGTAAGACTGCTCGTATGTCGCGAGCGCCTAAAAAAAAGTCGGTAACGGTATATCGCACTGCGGTCGCTTTACATTCACCGGGCTCAGCCCGACGCACGATAATCTTCTAGCACGGCGGACGCTTTCGAACAATTGATTGTCATCGGTTTATCGTCCGTACCGAGCGATTAGACCTTTTGCCAAGGTATCGATAACGGTCCGAGGTCATTCTTATTCGGTGTCACTTTAAATCTCTCTTTACGATTCCCATTCGACTTATATACCATTTTGCACGTTTTTACGTGCTTTTTATGGGCGTATAAAAGTTTTTTGCCCGTTTTCCCATCTTTATTCCGCGAACGTTCACCTCGCGGTATATTATCCCATTAGGAGAGAACGAGGCACTCTAGCCGATCGGGAAGTATAAAATTGTTGAACTCTCCGTGCACGGCTATCAACGTAGCTACGTGTCCGTGTGCAGGTAGGCGACGTGCTCTCCTCATCGCTCGTAATGGTCACTACCGGGCAACAAATAAATTCATGCGATAACCACGGCGCGCACAGCCAGATGCGAGCCTCTCGTTGCACTCGATACGAGTCCACCGTATAAAGTTATAAGAAACGCGACTTTCACGGCTCCGCGCCAGCACGTTCCCTGTGTGTTTTTATATGTATATATGCACTATGCGCGGATCCTATTTGATTACAAGGTGGGTTACACAGTGACTGCGGTTACGTCAGATCCGTGACTCACTCGCTTTACTTGGTACCGATGACTAGAAACGTCGGATGGGAATTGTCCACCCTTGTACCACGTTATTGGTACCTCCTGTAGCGTTGTCACAGTTCGGAGTCTATATAGGTTAGGCTCTTTTGATATGTTATTCTCGCTGATTTCGTGGCTCGCGTGAATCTCGTACAATAGCAGGGCGCTGCCCTGTCGTGTCCTATGAGTGATTGGGAAGACTGCGGGTCTGATATATCGCAGGGATAGGGGTGCGTCCTGGCACGGATTATGGATTTGGCATTCGTTTTTAACAAGACGGCGGTGCTGCCCGAATCGTGGGTACGGCCGACTGTGGCGTGATGATAAGACCTTTAGGAAAGTTTCATCGAATTAGCGAAAGACAGATAGGGGAGAGGCTTTCTTAGTTTAGGTATTGGCGTGGTTTATCGTAAGTTCGTATTTGGATTTTGTGGATAAAAATGAGAAAAAAAATTTTTTTGGATTATTTTGCATTTCTTTCGATTCGTCTGGCAGTTCAAAGGAGACTTGATGTTGGACGTTGAGATGTATAGCTTTCTTGCGCCGACGAGGAACCAATCATTTGTCAAGCCTGGTCCAGTTCGTAATTCATTATTCTTGTCCCGGCGGGTGGTAGAAGAAAACAAACGGAAAGGACACACGCAGAGCGAACGGTAGCCGAGTCCTTGGGACTGTAGACGTTGCTTTCGCCGACTGTTCATTCCTGAGACCCTTTTGCTCCTGTAGCGTCGCGACGTCGACGTATCCCTGTTTGTCACTCTTTACGATTTTTTTTTTTCAATCATTTCAAGGTCACGTGACTCTTTTTTCGTCCTTCGACTTATTCGATGATCCTGTTCAATTTTTCATGGGCGCCGTCTTCCGGATGCTGTACAACCTGTAGACGATCACTTGGTGCAACCTCGAGGTAAATCCTACGAGCAAATTTGTAACTCGAACGTTTTAGCTATATCGGATCGAACACGCGAAAATCCACTTAGTCGGCTTCCTGATCGCTTTAGAAAGTGAGAGTCTCTTCATTATGTCGAACCTACCATATAGGTATACCAGCCTGGCATCATTTTCATTGTAAAGAGTCCCAAAGGCAGCAGCATTCAACTCCCACTTAATGCCTTTATTTTTCGGTCGACCCATCCACGCAACCATCCTTAACCCCACGCGTTAATCATCCCACACACAGCTCCTGAGTCTCCATCTGCCGCAGCTGCCTTACGGGAGCTGAAAAATGGACTTACGCCACCAGCTAGCAGCGTATCCAAGTCGATAAATAAGAACCCGCGAACCAGTGATATTCGAATTAATAAAGTCCCGTATAAATAACTCTCAGACATACCAATCCACGCACGGTATAATTGACTGTAGACAGTTTGTCAAAGTGAGTCAGTTAACCGACTGTTGATCTGCTGGCTTCTGTATCCGATTATCACGACGGTCCACCGTCTTGTATAATCGCGCATGTAAAAACAATTGTGCACGTTGAGATGTTGTCGTCAGCGACGACCTAGACGCCGTTCATCTCCCGAAGGGCAAATCTGTCTCACGCGCAGGCAGACGTATCGACTGTCCACGAGTGGCTCGTGTTACTGGCTCGTATGTAAACGTGTTTCTGATGACGATTTTATTATCGACTTTTGAACTCCGTCAAATCGCAGGAGCGGGAGCAGGAGCGTGTCCGAGGTCGGGGAAACGGAAGGTCCCTCGGGAGGTCCTGTCGAGGAAAGGGCTTTCTACGAATCCACCCTTAGGAGCATGGCCCTTCGGAAACCGCTACGTCACCTTGACGACGAACCCCCCATCTATTGAGGCTCGACGCAACTCGGGGAAGGACAGTGACTCGGTTAACGAGCACGTGGCAATTTCGTGGAGAAGTTATCCTTCACTTTGGGCGCTGTTTACTACCCCGTGCATTTTATCGGGCACTTGAGACCTTTTTTCTTTGTATTACTTTACATTACGCGAATAAGTCGATTTTTTGGGGTTCTTCGTAGGGGGTGGTATGTGCATATACAGTATTGCTGAAACAGTATTTTGGCACTGAGTCCTGCCTCGTGCGAGGTACTCGTAAGGATTTTAAATTTCGCGGGCAATATGCTCTGGCGGGAATATTTGAAAATTTATATGGACGACTCCACGGATATAAAGAATTGTACGCCTAGCTGCTCCCTCGAAACTTATTGATTTATCGCGTTTGCCCAGAGTTCCTAGGTATGCAACGTGATACCGTATATCGTACGTGTTACGAGCGATGGTCAATTGTAAGAAACTGTACGGTTGATTATCGCCGGGGAATATTTTGTAATTAGACTTCGAGGCAGAACGCAATTCCGCTGTGTGTTCAATGCACGTCTATCAGTCTTGATTTAAATCGCGGAGTGTAATTAGAGTGGATGGTATCGTCGAATAGAAATTGTTTAGACCAGGAATTAACCGAGGAACTAGTATCGAAGATACAAGATAATCTGGTATATCAATTAAAGAATTGTCTGATGGTATTGTAGGTAGACGGCTGTTGATTCTCTTTTTTTAAATCTTTTATTATGTCTCAGACGTCTGAAAGAAAACCTCGTGAAAGTATCGTTGTTATGTAAAATTAACGTGGACGCACGTTCACCCGTCTGGCAATAAACTTGATAAGAATCGTCGACGGGGAATTTCTACGTAGACGAATAACACCGTGACTCGATTGGTCAATCACGCAGAGACTCACGGATCGGGATCGATGGAAAGTGAATGCCTGTCCCCTCGGTGCTCCAGATGTTCTAAGCTGTCATCGTGGAGACTTCTTTTTGTCGTAGTCCCGTGGAACGGTATTGTCATTTTATAGATGGGAAGCGCAGAATGAATAAAATTTTTTGATTTTTTTTTTCACAACGATCGAACCTTCCTACGTTTCTGGGTTAGAATTCGTCTTTGGTGGTATTTGTGGTAAAAATTTTTTTTTTTAATTTAGATGGCACCCTAGTTGCGTTTTCTGTCTGTTGGCTTGTCGCGTAATTGAGGAGAACCGCCATTGGGAGTTTTTCGCGAAATCGTCGTCACGCACGTAAACACGCGACGGTGCGTAGAATTGCGACAGGTGGGGGCGGTGCCGCGCATCGCGTACGTGCAATAACTGCAGCTCGGGCGCTTTGGCGGATTTTCTAATTTATGCAAATTTCAAGGAAACGCACGAGCCGCGAAGGTATCACGTGTTTACGGTAGTTTCGTGATAACTCATCGCTCGTATGTGGTCTCGCAGTGGTTTGACGTTCGCGTAAACAATTTTGACAGTTCAGTGGAAAGTGACATTTGACCACGTGCTCGACGTGAAAATCGAGTAACCAGGTAAATGGGCGCTTGGCTATTCAGACTGTAAAGAGCGATGGCGATTTTATGGTTTCTCGAAATATCAAGGCTGCTGCTCATTTGGCTCGTTCGGTCCTTGATTGGGCGAATTGTACCATTTAATTGCGTCAGTCGCGGGTCTCTCAGCTTTGCGCAACTTTTTACTACCAAAAGATTCCAGAGCGTAACAGTCGTGACAGGAAGCGCGATGGCGAGCAGGAGTCACGTGGCAATTACTTATTCGACTTTCATGGCTGTTACCGGGAGAAATTCTATTTGACGAAGTTGCTTAGAAAGAAGAAAAAAAAACACATTCATCAAAAGCCAACTTCGTGCGGAACGGGTAGACCGGACGACTCCATTCTCGGTATATAAGCTTCCATGCAAAGGCGCAGTAGTGGTAAACAAAAAAAAATGTAAATATGTGAAAAAAAATTTCTTTTCAGAAATCAACATCACGACGCAACGAACTCTCTTGGCCAATATTGAAATACGCGAGAAACACGCGATGATACCCAAGGAAAATCTGCACACGACGTGGAATGACTCACGGGACTAAGAACTTTCTGTCAGAAATGGCAGAAGCAGCCGTCAAGGCTGCAAGAAGGGGTTGCGCGTTGAAGCGATCAAATGCGAATCCTAGAAAGCGGAGTTACGTGATTTCGGATCTTTCGTTACTCACGCGTATACGTTGTTAACATTCACGTTGGTCGTTCCTCGTTCGATCGGTTATTCCGGTCGCTCGTTAACTTTAACGCATTTTCCACTAACGAATCAGTCAAACCTTCACTGTTGGCATCTCAACTTACCGTGCGCGACAAAATCTACCGTTGATAAGTATTTCCCTTTCAACGATATCGTCATCATCTATCCATAGGTATTCGTATCATGCTGATGCCAGTCTTCGCTCGTACCTACCCACCGCCTTATTTTCCCAACGCCGCGCTAACCAGTTTTCACCAAGCACTTTCTGCACGTGGCCAACAATAGTTTGCATTTCACTCGAGAAACTCGCGCTGCCAGAACCAACCAGGAACAAGTCTTTACTTTTGATAATAAGTAAGATCAAAGACGTTCGTTTTCCTATACCAAATGATCCTACGACATGTTTATGGATTTTTACGCATGCGCGAACAAGTCTTTACTTTTGATAATAAGTAAGATCAAAGACGTTCGTTTTCCTATACCAAATGATCCTACGACATGTTTATGGATTTTTACGCATGCGCATTAAAAAAAAAAAAAAAAAAAAAAATGCATAAAAAAATTTTTTTTTTCATCAATCATCGCTCCTCTGTATCTCGGATGCTGCCAGTCTCTGGTTCGGCCTGATAAAATTTACCGTCAATTATTTAAGCCTCTTCTCACCACGCTTCCTCGAGTCTCTGATCTTTCTTAAGAAATCTCCTCGGATATCTCGCGATTCGTTATGGAATCTCAGGATCGGCTTGGTTTATCTTTCATTCGCGCTGATCCCCCCCTCTGCCCCCTTCCCCCCTCTTTACTGCCTGTTCTTACTTTGATATTCATGCCGCTATTGTCTCTGCAGAGACAAGGCTTTATCTTCGGTATAGGAACTACGAGAGACGAGACCTCGTGCTCACCGACCACGTTCACGCCTCGCCGGGTGTCCTTGATTCCGTTCTCGAGGAAAATTATGGAGGGACGTAAGAAAAAAAAAAATAATTTTTTGTTTGCCTTTACGAAGAACCGTGCTCCACTTAATAGCCCGCTGAGTCACTCGATTCCGATCTGCGTTACTCGGTTAAGTACTCCAGGTACCTCTCTGGCACTTATGATGCGATTCTAATAAAGATCCTGATACACGTACGTATCTTACGTGGGACGTTAAGGAGATATATCGTAGAATTCGTTTCGTCTAAATCGATACTGGATGTAGATTTTTGTTTTCCTTATTTTTCCGTTTTTACAATTTTTCACGCGATTTCGTAATCGATGACCTCGATCTCTTATCGGTTACAGATAACAGAATGGATCGACTGTGTGAAATAAAAATTATTCAGTCATATCTGTGTGCACCGCGTCAAGGTGAAATATTATTATTATTATTGTCAACGTGATTATCTTCGATCGGTAAGTATCGAACTGTCATACTAGAACAGTACACTCACCGTATCCTGATGACGCGTAATGTACACCTGTAAACGTCAGAATTTCAATAACAACGTTCAGCCCGGAATTTCGTACTGGCCAAAGTGACGGGAGCAAATCGTAATGCGGAAGTCGAGGAGCCGCAGTGTGTGTGTCTACCGGTAGCGTTAATAATCCCAAGTAAGTTCAACGTACAATTAAATTCGCGATATACTAAGAAGCATATACCTACCCACGCGTGCAGATGGCATAACTGCCAGTCGTCGGAGCGAATCTTTTATCCGGCAATTTGCATACGTACTTCCGATTTATTCATGCGAGCATCCAACGTATCCACGTTCAACAGTTGCGTGCGCGATAAACCCAGTCCCAATTTCCTGGATCTGTTCTCAATCGGATTCGTGGTAACGTGTGTATCAGCCTGTGCGAAATTACCACGTCGCGTCTACTTGGTCATTGGGTGCTGTGGGGTTATCGAGGATGAAGAAAAATGCAGGTAAACCATCGATAACCGCGAAACAATAAAGATCTTTCGGTCGTTATGTTCTTATCGTTATTCTCGCTCGACTCGCGTCTTCTGGCCAAAGTACTTGCGTCATATAATAAACTCTATGGGCCTGGGCTCGCTTTGCCGATCCCACTCGACACTTATCGTACCTCGTAACGCGCACGCTAACCCGTCTCTTGCGTTAACGCACGAAACATTACCGCTCGGCGGTACATAAGCTGTTACACCATACGGCATAAGAAACACGTCGTTAACGCTAAGACCTGACAATTATAGGCCTGTCAGTACGATCTGTCGGGTTGTATTTTTCGTGGAGATCCTCCTTTATTTTATATCAGCGATCCGCTCGGGGATTTAGTTTTTACGAGGGATCTAGGTTACGATATGATCGTTAGGTAGTTACCGGTTGCGGTCTTGTAATTATGCGAATATAATAAACGTGGTTTTATTGGGATCGTAGGATGTACTTGAGGACGGGTTTCGGGGTTAGGGGCGATGATGACGATGGTCCAATTTCGTCGTTCCTTCGTTTTCTCATTATCACGGGTCACGAGAACGATTCCGCGGAGTCACGATTCGCGCGCTAATTTCATAGCGAAATTGACGCGTCGCTTGGGTCTACTTTGGTTTATCGTCGGGGCTGCATTTACGGTGATTTTTTGGATTTGATGCTTTTCCGTATGCTGTTTCTATTGGTTGATATGGCTGATTGTCGGAAGTACCTTTGATAGCTCCTACGGTAAGGTCAGGGGTCATGTACTTGAGCGGAATCTTGGATCATCGGTAGCTTCGACTCGCGCTTAAACAAAGCGAAACGTCGCACTGCGAGCGGCAAGGAGATTACAGACAATGATAGGGCTTTAATTATGCTAATGTATGCAACTCAGGTACTACAGTTCCTGCCAACGCCTGCTATGCGCGGCCATGCATCAGCGTCGCACGTGGCCTTAAAGGTGGATTCACACCAACGAGGCGCGACGAGGCTTCAGGGGTATTTCTTTGGCTGGGACTAATGGTTTGTGTTGTTACGCGTTCGATTGACTTTGCCTTGAGTAAAATTGTCATTTTCAAAATTTCGGATAATTTTTGCTAACAAATAAAAATGGAATTTCTTTCACGAAGGAAAATTTTTTTAAATCTTGTACACACGGTTACCATACTGCTGGTGCATTGGAAAATACGTTTTTAGTGACTGACTTTCTTGCACTTTGTGTCGAGCAAAGTTCGAGAATGCATATAGTCGCGTGAGGCCGATTAAAAAGTTCAATTCAAAATGGATTGAACTAATCGTCCTGGATTAATCGTGGAAAACTTTTATTTTATCTACTCGATCAGGTTGAATTGGTTCGACCGTCGATTCTGGTAATTACGTCCGAATTATTTTTTTTAGGTTCGTTGCAGGTTTTAAGCAGTGGGAGTGTATGCTGAGAATTCGTGTAATGAGCTTTCGGCGAGTGGGACGTATGTGCTTGTAAGGTATAAAAGTTTCTCGGTACGTAGGCGACGTGCCTAGTTTGGGCCTATTCAATGCGGCGCTAGAAAAGGTTCGTTGAACCTTCCTTGCCAATGTCGCTTTACATGAAAACCAGCGAGAAACGTCTCATCGATACACTTGCTTTTCGATTGGACAAAAATTCAGCTTCTTGGTGAGCACTGTAGGAGAGCCTTATTACTATGCGTACGAACAAAGCCGGGGAATGCGATGCGATTTAAACGAATACATCCATTAATCGCGTCTGTACTCTATCGTTACTTCGTGTGGGTTATACCATTATCCAATGTCAGACGATCAAGTCGATACGTTTTCACAATGGCCGAGCGACCGGATACACATTTTCTCAAGTGTCACCTCAAAGGACGTACCTCGAGATTTCTTGCCGTGGTCTTTCTACGGTCTTGTTATTTCGTTCGACTTACAGTTTGATCTTTGGACTCATACTGGCAATTTTTTTTTGAAAAAAAAATTTTTTTTTTCACTTCAAAATAAATGTCAAAAGGATTTTTTGACCTCCAACAAGAATACACAAAAATTCATGACACAGTGACTTACATAAAAATGCCACGTGGTCCTTGCCAAGTGGGATTTACATGCAAATGAGCCGAAGGCGAGAATGAGAAAGACAGAGAATAAAGAGAGTGGTGGGTGTAGGGTCGGAACGCCTACAAAAAGGTCTGCCGGAT